GGGTGCCCTCGGGGTGTGGAGGTGCTGCCTGGCTTCCCAGCGGGGTGCGAGCTACAACGGGGAGCGCTTGTTTTGGAGTTCCCCCGGAGCAACACAGGAACACGCTCCGGGGTGGGGGAAGCTGTGCCGGCGATGGCCTCTTAGATGTGGGACTCGAGCGAGATCCTCTTGTGTGTGACGTGCTCCAGGTGGGCTTTCTCCGAGGTGTCCAGCTCGATGTTGTACTTGGCCAGGATTTTTAGGATGGGGCGAAGCTTCAGCCACCACTGCTCCTTGGGGATGCGGTGCCTGGGTGAGAGAGAGAAGGCGGCGTGATGGTCCGGGATGCAAACAGCGATGCGTCGCCTGGGGAAGCGTTCCCAGCCTGTTGTATTTATCCTTCCCGGGGCTGGGGCACGGTCTCAGGGGTGATGGGGGGGGAGAAAAGGGGGACACCTACTCGAAGTCCGTCTGCTCCTTGAGCTCGGTGATGGGCTGGAAGACGAGGCTGCGCTTGCGCATGCCCAGCAGACAAGCCGAGTCGGCCGTGTTGGCGAAGATTCGACCTGCAAGGGGAGGGCGGGGAGCGGGCTCGGCATTTTCATAGAATCATCGAATTGTTTAGGTTGGAAAAGACCTTTCAGGTCATCCTGTCCAACTGTCTTTTGGACCCTCTGGGAGGGGAGAGCACCCCTGAGCACCCCCCAGAATCTGCAGGGGAGCCCTGAGCCCTTTGCGTTGGAATATCGGAGCATGCGTGCGCCTTGGGAAAGAGCCAGGGGGTTGCTTTCAGCGATTGTGCCCCCCTGCAGCGGTGGGGAAGGGCAGGGGGCTTTGGAAACAAAGCAGAGAACCCCCCCGCGGTGCAGCACCCACCGTGCCGGGAGCACTCCTTGATCTTCCCGGTGATCCAGGCCACCGACTTGGCACCCATTTTGGTGCCGAAGTTCCTGTCGAAGGGGGTCGGGGTGCCGCCCTGTGCCAGAAAAGCCGCCGGGTGAATGGAGGTGGGGGTAAAGCCCCGGGCGAGGGTCTCCCAGCCCACAGCCCGTTCCCTGGGGTGCCGCGTTCCTGCTGCCCCGGGGGGGGCCGTACCTGCTGCATGTGCCCCAGCACTTTTTTCCGGCAGGCGAAGGTGCCCTTCCCTTCCTCCGAGTAGAGGTTGTAGATGAAGTCGGTGGTGTAGTTCTCGTTGCACCGCTCGTTCCTGTGCCGGGCGAGGGAGGTGGGCTCGTGGGGGGTGGCACGAGCACGACAGATCTCAGTGGCAACCCCCTCCCCAGCCCGGGGACGTACCTGAGCACCAGCCCCCTCTTCACCGTCGTCTTCATCTTCTCAGTTAAATGCTCCACGTTGACCTACGTGGAGCATGAAATGGGCATCGGGCGGCTTGGAAGTGGGAATAAATGCGCCCCCAGCACCCCGGGGCTGTGGTGATGGCCGGAGTGGGGGGA